GGGTTTTAAGTTTTCCTTTTTTCAGCTTGGAAGTTTGTACATTCCTTGGCTTGCGAGAGTAGAGTGAAAAACCCAATTTCCCATCCACACTCCCTAATAGATTCCCGTATCTTAGAGAGTTGCCATAGTGATAAAAAAGGGAACAGAATCTGCTGGTCTTTCTGGGATAGCAGAATTATTAAATTAAATGCATCTTTTCCATTAAAATAGAGTTGCATTATCATATTTCTGAGAAGAACTGTTTCAGAGTAGAAGTAATGTGTTTAAGATGGTGTCCTGCATTAACCACATTGCTTCTTCAGGCACTTCTAGCCTTGACTTGTGGCCCTTCCAGTCTCTAACGTTCTGTGACGCTGTGATTCTCTGTGCTGGGGTGGTTGATAGCACCCCTGCATCTCCTCCATTGCACTGACGGAACAGCTGCATAGGAAACACCTTGCTTGTGAGAAAGTCTGCTCTACTCCATCAGAAGTCATTGCAGTTGTGACCACAAGGAACTGGGCAAGAAGCAAGAGTTGCACAAGGTTATAACGCAGAAACACAGGAATAAAACATGAATAGCCAGAGGATGCGGTGGGATGAAAGGAGCCACCCTGGGATGAAGGAGTGCAGAGAACATGGGCTGTAGAAAGTGGTGGTTGCATCAGGTAGAGAAGAAAGATGAACTGATAGAGAAGGCAGCAGGGTGGGGGGGATGGGGACATCCTTAAGCTTAGCACAAAATGGGAGTGAACTGCAGCACAACCCAGGTTTTTGGAGAGAAGCTTTAGCTACCCCGCTGATATGTTGAAGCTTGAGTAGCCCTGTGATACACGTCTGTGCCCATTCGTTGCAGGTGGGAAAAGAAACAACTTGCACTGGATTGCTTTTTTCCTACATTGCTTTCCGGAAAGTTAATCAACTTTAAGCAAAATACAAGTCTTTGTGGTGGCCCGCTGAGTCCCACATCAAAATGAGCGTTCTTACCAGGCTAACTCCCGTGTTCTTGCTGATTTATCATTTTGGATAATTTGTAATTATCTAGTAATCTTCCCTGAACTTGCTAATTCAGGATCAGAGTTCTGTTTCAGGACTATAAAAGCTGAAAGTCTCCCAAGTATCTGCCTTCCCCCGCCTGCCCCCTCGTTTCACGTAGGCAGACACCTGGGCGCAGGGGCAGGAGCCGCAGCGTTTCAGCCTTCTGACTCCTTTGCTTCCAAGCTGCTGGTTTCAGTTTGCAGAATGAATAAGCAGTGTAAAATCTTTACGATGTATAGGCTCAATCATCTGATGGTATTTGCCAGTTGTTTTTAGAGATTGCAATTAGCCCTTGTTTAGATAAAGTTCTAGGGAAGGTCACCTGCCCTCAGTGTTCAGATAATTAACCAGGAAACGCCGGCTAGTGCCTCATGCACTTGGCCGTCCTTTCCGTGTTTGATAGGCAGGGCATCTGCCTGATTCATCCTTTTCCACCTCATATTTGGTGCCGTCCCAGCAGTGAGGGGCTGGCAGTGGTTTGCTTTGCTGGGGTCCTCCCGACCTGACAGCGTTTGCTGCTGGAGTAAGCGCTGAGCTTCTCCTGGGGTTACTGCTGACAGCTCTGAAACGCTACTGATCTGAAGTGTGGCAGCAGGTTGTTCTGCCACTAGACCTCCTCGTCGATCCTAGCCTGGGCTGAAAACTGTTCTAAATAGATAAGGGTTCATTAGAGCATTTCTCGCATCGTGTTGTGCACTCCTGCTCTCTGGAAATCAGTCCTGTTAATAAGCTTAACTCCTCTGGGGCAAAGCTGAGTTTAAAAAACCTGGAACTACAAGCATCTGTGAGCTTTAACAAACTCATCTTGTGTATGGTCCCTCCTGATTTTTGTCTCCCTATTTACTTCAGGGATTGCCACGTAAGAAAGATAGACCTTTCCACATTTTCAGATTTTTATTTTTTTTTTAAAAGGTGGATGTCAAACAAAAAAAGTCTGTGGTGGTTTGTTTCAGTGGCAGTAATTTACAAAAATGAGATGTAGGTTAAAGGGCATGTCTAATGTTTTACAGGTTATCAAACTATCTGCTTTTTTTTTTTTTGAAATTGTAGACTGGTGTAACTCTTTAGCCTTAGGTTCCTTTCACTTCCTGAAACACAGCTTGAGACCTTGAAATACCATGTGGTGAGAGCAAGTTTAAAAAAAGACAAGGTTTCAGGTGGAAGCTGCTCTGCTTCCAGCTTGAGTTCAAAGAACAGCAAGGCGTTTCTTAAAATTTCAATCAAGTATCTGTTAGTTAACAGCCACCTAGAAAAGGAAAAATTGTCCTCATCCTATTACGCACTCACTTTGGAAGCCTTGAAAGATTGCTTTCTTGTTGTACTGAGTTGTGATATGCATAATAAGATCTGTTGAAAAGCAAATATTAAGATACGATAAACTACCCATGTGGTACCTGTTAGGATTGCAGGATTAGTCCTTTTGGGATGTTCCAGTAGTATAGAGTTTTAACAAACTTACAGTGAAATTTTCTGTTCTTTGTCTTTTGAGACCAAAATATTTTGTAATGCTTTTCCTAAAATACAATTTTCCTTTAATAAAAAAAAGTTCATCTTTCCCGGTAATGAAATGAGATGAAGAACACCTGTTTCTTTTGGAGCAAGAACTTTGCTGTAAAATTTGCTTAGCATTCACACTGCCGAATGAAAATCTCTGCTTTTTGAAAATTCAGCTGTGTTTTAAGATTCTGCCAGAGGCTTATAGCATTACGTTGTGCAAGCTCAGCACACTGGTGTTAGGCAACTCACTGTTTGCACCGAGTCTCTTCCACCTCCTCACCGGTGGCTGGGTGTGCTCCAGCCCTAAGCGGTGGGGTGTAGGAAGGACTTTGCTTGCGCTGTCTCCTGCAGGCTGGGCTGGCCCAAGCAGGGCCATGGAAATAGCAGAACTAGGTTCATAGTGTGCAGCATTTATCTTCCAGTTCGGGCTCATCACGGTGCTTTCACAGTGGTGGTGGCGGCTGTAGGACTCGTGGGAGGTTGTAGCAGAGCCGTGGTTGCCAGAACGGTCAATATGTTATTCGACTTTTAAAAACTCCACCAAACCTGCAGGCAAGTTCAAAGAAGATGAGAAGGGCCAAGTCCTTCTGCACACCTAAAGTTTGTAGTTGGGGCTTGAGACACAAGGGGAAACCGAGTAACAGCCAAACAGCTCATGATCTGTTTCTGGCCTCTGAAAGGTTTAAATAGTTGGTCATAAGCTGCTTTCTCAGAATCTCACTTTTAGTTTCAGAACTTTTCTTCACTGCTAATCTGACAGACCATCATAGTCATAGCTGTAGGTATCAGATGATCCTTTCTCACACCTTGTCTGAAATAATGGGTTAAGAGGAGTGGATAAGTTTACTGAATACTTTGCTATTTATTCTTCAGAGAAAAGCTGCCACAATCCATGGTTTTTAAAAATACCCAAACAATTTCTTTGAACATATGGTGCTAAAAAGCAAACACAGAAATATAGACAATAAAATTATTGATATTTGTGTAATGCGATAGGAGCCACTTTTCTTTCAAAGCAGTCTTTATTACTAAGCTTTTGATGCTGTTAAGCAATTGGGGATTTTTGGTCTTGTGCTATTTGAGGTATTCAGCTTTACTGTGGAACACAGCACATACATGATAACCTCTTACATTGCCAAATAGCAGCTTTTTTTTTTTTTTTTAAATATGTGTATAGTGGGTCAGATTCTTCTGTAAAGACACAACATTTTGTACAGTGGAAAAAGGGCTGGATCTGGCAGCAGTCACTGCAGGATGCAGGATCAGGGAGGATTTCTGAATACCCAGGTGTACAAAGTACACTGACAAAGGGGACAAGGCACCGTCAAATTGTGTTTATTGGACTCTGCCCCGACATAATTTACTGCTCTTCAGCAGTGCATCAGCTGGTGGTTCAGTCCCATTCCTGTAAGCATGAAAAAGCAACCACTGGGCAATTCCTTATTGTGAGGCTGTCACACGGATAACCTGGCGTGCGTGGTCCCTCTTCCAGCCGCAGGAATAGTCCTCCTGAACCCCTGCGGCTAAGGGAAGAGAAAAGATAGGACCATGGAAAACCAGTGTGTTGTGCGAGGAAGGGCTGGAGAGGTCAAAGGAAGGGGAAAATGGGATTTAATATTTCAAATAGACTTGCTCAGTGGTTCTGACAGGTGATAAACTCATCTAGAAATCCTCCCGGAGCAGGGCGGGGGAGCACAAACATGAGCTTGACTTCTTATTTCCCCTTTATGTGGAGGAGGGAAGGAGGGTCCTGGTGTTAGTCATTCTCTTTGAAAGAAGTAAATAGCTGCTAAAATGTCTTTTCAGGCCTTTTGTCCGGTGTAATAGTTCCTGCCTCAAGTAATAGAGGTCTCACGGCTTTTCTTGGCAGGCTGTTGTTCAGGTGATGGACTCTTTGGATGGACAGTGTTCTCTTTACTCCTTCAGGGGAGTCCTGTTTCTGCTTGCTATCTTAAGGGGTTTGGGGGTGCGATTTGCCAAGGATGGCAGCTTTAGATAGGTGTCCTTTTGTTCAGACATTTTTCCTCAAGTACCCAAACATACCTAGAGAAGCATTTGCTAGATGCCTCTATATATTCCTCTCCCTTCTGACTGTTGAAGGTACAAAGTCATGCTTTGTGCACAAAATACACAAAGTATTACAGGATTGGAGGTTGGTGTGGTTTTCATAAATAGTTGCAGTGTTGGAAAAAGTAATTTATGCCAATGAAGATTGGGAAGGATGCTCTTGTTTTCTCCTTGGCCTTTGCACAATGATTTTGTAAGTTGAGTTCAGACGCACACCACTGTGTAAATTTGTAAAATATTTTTTTAAAATTTAAATTTGATTTAAGTTGTGAAATTGAGAGTTTGATATTGAGCAACTTAAAGTGGAATTTGTTCTCAGTGATGCAAAAGTGGATATTGGAAATATATATATATATATATTTTTTAGTGTCCCTTCAGAAGTCAAGGAAATTATAATAATTTTGTTCATTCTTTTCCAGATGGGAATGACAGGTAACACTAGTCCCTTCGGGCAGCCTTTCAGTCAAACTGGAGGGCAGCAGATGGGAGCTACAGGAGTGAACCCTCAGTTACCAAACAAGCCAGGCATGGCGAATAGTTTGTCTGCCTTTCCTGCCGACATCAAGAGTACTCCCGTCACCAGTGTGCCAAATATGGTGAGTGGTACCTGCCTGTTACCCTTGTTCGTTATGTATTGGTTGTGCATTCAAAATTCTTGGGTGATAGGGCTTGTGCAGCATTACTGGGCCACTTCTCCATGGTCATTAAACATCAAAGCAGCTCCACGGTTCCTCATTACCACTCTGCTGTGCACATAGAAAGTTTGTGAACATTTTTGTGCAGTAATTTAACTTTCTAAGCGATCAGTGTTTTGTTACAAGAATTGCATTACATCGTTTCATTTTGTCTGGTACATTTAGTTCCAAACCAGATGAAAATGTATTTTCTTACATGCTGTTTGTAGGTTTAAATTCCTAAATAAATTAGAATGTGTTGGATACATCATCAGCTTCCCTGAAACTAAACAGTACCTTTCGTATCCTGTGAATCTAATATGGTAAACACACAGTGGGCTTCTCAGTTTATATTGTGCATGACTTGCAGCTCACAAGCTTATGAGAATAGTTCTTCTTAGGATACCTTGCCCAAGTTTGTAGTATTCTGTTTACTAGAGTTTTCTTTATGAAGTGAAATTAAATATCCCTATTTGTCTCAGTATATCTGCGTATTAATCAAACTGCTTGTGGCGTTTCTATGGAAACTCCAGCTTGTTGCATTTTATATTCTTATACATGATAGCAGTTACTATAGAAACTTGTAAAACCTTCCATAAGATGCAAATTGCTTATTTTTTAATTTAACTAGAAAACCAGCTATTTTCTGGCACAAGCAATGCCTGTCCTTCCATCAGTGAGTTTGCTACCTGCCTGTCACTAATAAGGCTATATCTGAGAAGTAACAGGATGTAATAAACTTCCTCTTCTCTCCTGATTTAGAGGACTGTTTCTTGATTTTCCTTTAGTTACACTGTGAAATCTTTGTTTTAATATCATAATTTACTGCTTATGGTTATGGCAAGGAGCTGGTGACTAGGAGTAAGACCGTGTTCAGAATACCTCTTGCACTCACGCAGAATATTTGTAAAAGACAGTTTGCTGCATGACTATTCTAACTTTGTTTTTAAAATACTTTAAGTTTGGATCAGGCATAAAGCAAATGAATTATTGCCCTGATTCTGCAGAGCACTGGCAAATGTGCCCAAAGTGCTGTATTCGTCTCAGGGGCTGGGTGATTCTGAAGCCTAATTATGTGCTCATTTAAATGTCAGGTTTGGGGAAACCTAAATCTTGATGTACTGGCTTACTGATGGAGGATGTAATGGCAGATATTCAGGTGGAATAAACAGGGCATTTGCCATGAAGGCTTGTCTAGTGGTGGGGGAGGAAGTAAAAGAAAAAACTTGCTGTTTCCTTTCTCCCATCTTGTCCAAGAGACAGAGGAAAGTAAAGGAAACTTACTTTCCCAGTTCTATGAATTGCAGCTTCTTTAAAGTGTGAAAAATAGGAGGGGTCTACTGAGAGGACAATCAAAACCGTCTTTCTTTGTTTCTCAGGTGTCAAAACTTTGTATGTCCAGTGTGTGTTTTCTCCCTCAAGCCAGTGTGAGAGTAACGGCCGTTGCAGCTGATAGGCGTCTGCTGTTGAGCCAAATGGTCTCAGCGCTGCTTATGGGTCCTGTCGTGGTTCAAGTTTGATTGCAGTCCCGATGGGGTTGGAACTTTCATCTGTAAAAACTAAAGTTTCCATCTAAACATTTGTATTGCAAGGACAAGAATTTAAAAGGAAATGTCAGACTCGTTGAAGTTTAACTTTGACTTGGCAGCAGTGGGTAAGGTAGTGCAATTGTTTGGTAACAGTATGTGGCCATATGCTGTTCCTTCCATGGGGACTTGGCTTTATTCAGCGTACAACATGAACAGTGCCCACTGAAAGAGAATATAGTCAACATTTTGTTCTATTTTTGCTGCCCAGTGTGTAGCTGTGGGCCTTGTTGGCTGTAGATAGTAGTATAGTTCACTCAGCCGGTGTCTTCCAAACCATGTTTTCTGTGGAGGTCGTCACTGGAGCAGGCACATACTTTGGATTAGTTAATTTTCACAGTGCCTCTCTGAGATAAAGGTGTGTTTTCCCTGTTTAAACATGAGGCTGAGAGGCATGATGAGAGTAAGACTGAAAGAATCTGCTGACTCTGAACTTCAGGTTTGTAGGCTTTGGCTTGCTAAAGCCTTCCTCATTTCATGTGTTAAGGCATTATCAAAGGGCAAAATAACATTCCCATCGCTTAGATGTGTGCTCCCATAACCCATGGTGGTGGTGTCTCTGTCTCACATTGGGCAACTGAAACACAACCCAAATGGCACTTGTGAAAAGCTTCTGGTGACAGCGGCAGCTCCCCGGAGCAGAGTTGCAGTGTTTGAATATTGCCCCACGCTTTCTTGCCACAATCCCTTCGCCATTTGCCACGTCCCGTGATCCTTTAGGACCCTAGACTCGGCGGTTTGATTTAACGTGTTTGGCCTCATGCGTGGTCTGCTGGAGACACGGTCTGTCCTGTTTCCTGGAGGAGGCAGGACTGGCGTGCAGAGGGGTGTAGTGCTGTGTTACTGTCGGACATGGACCTGAGGAGGGGCCGCTCAGACTCCATCTGCTACAGTAAGTGAAAGACCGACTGCATCTTTTTAAAAAGACTTCCAGGGTTTTTGGTAAGGTGTTTGGAACCACGCATCTTGCTAAACCAGCCCTCTACTATTCTTGTCTTAAAGGGCCCCAGAAGTACTGTTCCATGTGAGAGAGAAACCCATGTGCGTGAAAACATTGGTCATATGTGGCATGGCTGAGGCAGGAAGCCAGATTCCAGCATGACATTACACACCTTGATTGCCACTAAGAATATCTAAATAAGAGGAAATAGAAAGGTGCAGCCGTTGTCTTAAGACCCCTTGGTCCTGAAATGCAAGGCATTTTTTAAATACTCCTTTCTATATTTTTCCTTTCTCTGTAACCTTATGTGTATGCTGCAAAAGTAAAACAAAAGATGTGTTTCTTAACCCACATAATTCTAAGCATCATTATATGTGGCACCCCTGTCCCAAACACTAGTGAGTTGTCCCACTGCCAGGCATAACCCTCATGCAGCCAAGATAAGCCTCTGCTGCAGCAGTGGATTGTTTTTTTAATCCAAATGCAGGCCGCCACTCTCCTAAGAACCAACACTCTCTTCCCCACCGCCTCCCGAATGAAGTGGTTCTCGGACGCATTAGGTCAGTGCATCTTCCACCCCTTGTTCCAACCCTGACCTTACACTAGACCCCGAGAAGCACATTTGGTTTAATCTCTTTAATTGGAAAAGAAGTATCAAACCTTATGGTATTAAAATGATTAAAAGGTCAGCATTAAGGTATTAATTTTCAGTGCCAGCCAGATGGATTGATTTTTGTTTGCTTATTTTGTTTTTTTAACTGTGGATCCGAACAACATATTAGCTATTGCTTTGTGTGACTGTTACAGAATCGGTTTCCTTGCAGAATGGGCAGCTTGAAATCCTGAGTGAATGTCTTATTTCCAAAAGCAAGTTGTTGCTTCTGATGTTCTGGGAGGTTTTGGTGACATGCTGTTGAGATTCATTGTCACTGAAGTTGTTCCATGCAGCATTGGCAGTGCTCTGCTGCAGTGAGATCATGCAAAATCCGTGGACTGTGGAAGCGAGCCCTGCTCTCCTCTTTGGCTCTCAGCGCAGTGTGCAGCCTGCACGGGAGCCAGCAGCCTCTTGTTTTCCCAGCACCGAGACTCCGGGATGTGCTGTTAGTGAGGGGAACCCCGTTTAGACTTTTCCATCAAACGTGCTGAAGCTTTGGGGTGTCTGCGATGCTGCATGTTCCAAGGGTGGTGATGGATGGTTTCTTCATGGACATACCAGTAAATCTAGTATTTCTACGTGGGTTAGGAGTACAACGTGTGAAGTTTGGCTTCCAGACACCAGCTTGGTTTCACAGTTATCCTTATGACCAGCAGATGGAGTTGAGAGAATATTACTTTTTGGAAGTGAAGGAAACAGTTTCTCCTCGGTTCTCTTGACTTAGAAATGGAGTGGCACATCTGGCAATTTTTTTTCTGCTCTCTTATAAAACTACTTCTCTAGTGCTCTGTTCTTCCTTGTTTCTCTGTTTCTTTTTACGTTCTTTGGATTTCCTTATTAACAGGTTTGATCAGGAGAGAGGAAAACAATGATCTTTAAGACTGTGAGATGAGGATGTAGTGGATGTGCCGTGCTGCAAGCCTCCTCGAGAGTGGAAGAAAGCTTTTCAACTCAGAGGCCAAGTTTAATTAGAACAACCATAGCTACTTAAAATAGACAACTCTTATTTTATCCTAGAGACTAGAAAGAAAAGGCTTTACACAAAAACTCTATCTGTTGTGTCCTTACAGAGAGGAAGGCTTGCTTTTCTTAATCTTTCATTTTCAACTCAGAGGCCAAGTTTAATTAGAACAACCATAGCTACTTAAAATAGACAACTCTTATTTTATCCTAGAGACTAGAAAGAAAAGGCTTTACAAAAATCTTTCAGTGATTTTTCCTCTCTTGCAGCAAAGTCAGACTTCTCTTTCGCTGCAGAAAAGGTCAGTGACTGTCACCCCAGGGGTGTGCTGTGTGTCTGCTTGCTGCTCTCAGCAGCAGCTCCCGGTCCCTGGTGGGTTTGCAGTTTGGTGTGCTCACCTTCCCTGTGCCTGCCCTGACCCGCACTGTGAAAGTTTCTCTTTCCCAGGCAAGCTCACTCCTCTTCCACAAGAAAATCCCACCTGATCTGAAGTGGAGCAGCAGCCTAGCAAGCAGCTGGGAAAAGCTCTTGTCCATATTGCCTAGCCATGACCTTCTAAAGGAAAATATCTTAATAACCTGGAAACAAATAGAACAGATTGTCCAGTGCTGGAGAAACTATGTTAGTATGTTGGGAGCAAAGTAGGCATCCTTATTTTGTCTCGGGTCGGAGTTCATCCTGAGAAATGTGTGTTGGTGGAACCAGAGAAACCACCACCACTTAGAGCATATCAGAGGGAATTGTGAGAAGTGTAACTGGGTCTGTGTGGATTTCAGGGTGAAGCCATCAGCTTCTGCTTGAGCTCTCGTTGCAGTTTTGTGGTAGAGCAGTGCGTCCTGGGTTGTTCAGAGCTGGTTCAATGCTGCTTAGAACATTCCTGCAATTCCTGTTGGCAGGAAGGACTTCTTTCAGTCTTAGCGTAAATGTGTGGGGGACGTGATTGGAGTTGATCCCACTGTGTGTGAATACTTAATTCAGATGGAAGTCTTGCTGATTAGAAGTGTTCTTTGAAAGTTACAGTTTTGTGTATATCCCCTTTATGCCCACTATCCCCTCTCCAAAAGGGACCCCAAGATCCCACTTTAAGCCTGTGTTTGAAGGGGAACTGAAGAGGTTTGGGTGTGTTTCACCTTCTGAGTGAAGGTGGGATGCAACCTTGCTCTCTGCAGATACTGCAAGGATAGGTTTTTTAAAGTCTTAGTTGGTAGACTGGATGTGCCTGTAATGTAACTGCACATGTGGATGACGTGTTAAAAATCTCTTGTCACTAGTAAATAACATCCCTTTCCTAGTCCAAGATGTCAACAGACTGAGAAACCCCAAGGATAAAGAGCTACCTGCCTGGCTAGGGTGAGGGAAGGTCTGTAAAACAAACAACTGTATCAAAGCAGTAATCCTTGGTGGCAGTGGATTCTTCATTATCTCACTAAGGTCCACTGTTGATTACAAACCTGCCTTAAAGAACTAAAAGGCATTTTTTAAATATAGGATTTGTCCTTATACAGTGATTCCAGAAAGTGATATTCTGTTATCAGGGAGAAGGAGAGAACATGGGAATAAAAAGAAATTACAGAAGAGGAAATGTGTTTTAGAAACACAGTGCCATATGGAAGGTAGGCTGACCCTTGAGTTCTGTCTCAGGTTATTTACCTGATGAAAGATTACCAGAAAGATTATTGAAATTGATGCCTGCTTTTATAAGACAGGGTACAGGTGTTTGACAGACAGTGTTGGGTGCCTTTGAATGTAGACATGTCAAAATGTAGAGGATTACTGGTCATCTCGGTAAAGTAAAACCTCCACGGAACTTTGTGTCCATCCAGGTCCATGAAGATGAGATACTTGCCCATCTGTGCTGCCCAGTAACGTGGGAAGTTTTTGCTCTTCATAACAGGGACAGGGCATTCGTGTATGAATATGTATTTTCTATAATTTTAAATGGTATTGATAGCTGTTTTACACTACACAAGTGTTGTTATTACTCTGTTTCTGGAAAACTGGTTAATGAAGCTGCTGTCTCTGTCGGAGGCTGTAGCAGACTGTCAGCCCCTGTTTGCTCTGTTTATGGGGGAACTCAGCAAGGGAGCACAAGAAGCAAAACTGTCTTCCCCCCCCCCCTGGTATCTTACCATTTAAGCATAAATTTACTTTAATTGTGGGAGCAGAAGTGTCTGAATTTCCTGCTTTCTCAAGAAAATTGTTACTCATTCAGGTGAAGCCTCCTGCTCGTTCTGGAGTGGATGGTTTCTGTGGTCGTTGGAGGATTTATGCACCTTTGGCGTGACTGCGGTGCACGAGCAGATCTCCGCTTTTGAACTGGTCCTGCAGACCGGTGTTCTTAAAAGACAGGCTAGCAGGGAAGAGGTCAACTTCCTCAAACAGTCAACAGGCTTGAAAGTGAGGTAGATGGTGAAAAGAGCTTTCATTACGTTTGCAGATTTAGGACTTTACAACTTTGAAATAGTGACCAACAGAACTCTATAGAGCTTAGGGAATTTCCGAGTTCTTTTTCTGTGCCTGCCTGCAGATGCTCTCATCTGGACCGAGACTGCCTGTTCTTCCAACTACTGGTACTCCATGATTCTGCTTTTTTGTTACTCAATCTTCAAGAAATCCTTTTGGGTCATGGCATCTGTGCTGATACAGCTGTAGCCATGTCTGTTAACTGATAACAATATAATGATAATAGTAACAAAAGGAGAACTTTGGCTTGGGAAACTGTTCTTTGACTGGATGAAAACATCACTTCCAACAAGATTTTCTTTGGCAGGGTCTCTGTGTTTTTCTGCAGATTGACTGAACTAATTATTTCCTATTTGTGACCCAAGAATTGTTTCAGCCAAACCTGTCTGCTCTTGTGGATTTGTTCACAGCAGAAATGGAAGACTTCATTTCAGCTGCATGGACTGGGAGCGTAAGCAGATGGGTTTCCCTCAGCCTCTTTCCTTTTATTGCTCTTTTTCTTGCAAGCTCAAGACAAATGGATGCAGCAATTCCTCTTTAAGATTTACTGTATAATCATTATCAGTGGCAGAGTCCCCACCTCCTCCATCAAATACCAGACATTGTGTTTTCTACTTCATCTTGTGTGCTTTGTTCTCCAGAAGGAAAGCTAGCTCTTTAAAACCTGATGTGCAGGTGGCAAAGGTGAGGGCACAGCTTGCTGCTGGAGTGGTGAGAACTTGTGCCAGGGAACCTTTTGTTAACCTCAGAAACTGAATTTTGTTGATGTTACGTGATCTGTTTTGTAGACTGTGGAATTTTCTGGGGAGTCCTTCTCGAAGGTCAGAAGTAGAGCGGGCTACAAATGGTGTGTTCTGTCACTTACGGGGGATTTTCCTTACATGTAGTAAGCAGGCTTTGGTCAGTAGTTCTGCAGGCAGCACTGAACCATCTCCTCTGTTACCTGTTCTTCCCATATTCTGATTATAACTGTTTTAACGGCTCGTTTTCCTTGGGTAGCTTGGAAGTTGGTGAGCTTTTCTGCGGTAACCTGTATTTACAGTGCGTAATCAAATTGATTCTCTGGACGGTTTCATATGTGTCCGTCTGATTAATTGAAGCTGCGAATCACAGGGATTCAAGCGCTTTTGCAGTCCCATATCTTCTGCTAGTGGAGTCGTTGCAGGCTGTGCACGTGTTTAATTTTGAAAATCAGGTTTTGACATTCGTTGTCCTTCAAAGGTCCAAGAAGGTAGTTGAAAACCTTCTGAATCTGTGCTGGAGAAATGACGTTAAGGAAGCTGATTATCTCTTCCACACTGCCGTGAGCCGTGGCTTAGACTGAAGGTCTCTGTGGGTGTGCAGGCTCTGTCGGGCAGGGCTCGGGCGGTGGTACAGAAGCGTGTCCATAAAGAATAGATGCTGGAAATAAAATACCAGATTTTTACAAGCTGATACAACCTGTAGTTAATTGTAGTTCAGGAGGCAAAATGCAATCCAGATTTAGGTGTCCCTTTCTGGCAGAAAACTGCATACATCTCACCTTGGAAATTTTCTCTGTGAAAGGATATCAGCACTCGCTTCTGAGAAGAAGGGTTAATTTAGGCTTGGAAAATCAGTTCTACCTTTTACTGTAGGGGGGGGATAGAGACAGTCATATAATTTTGACTGTCTTCTCCTGTTGGGCTCCTCTTTCTGTTGGGGACAAGAAACTAGGATTGAAGCATATAAAACCTATAATATGAAAATGTAATACTAAACAGACTTGAATTCCACCTCCAGGTGTGGTAAGAGCTCATTCCTGTTGGAATTATGATCTCTCTAATAAACAGAAGATTTTGGATGGCTTGTTACTTAAACTATTGTTTGTAAATGTTTTAACAGAGGAACCTCTTGATAGATTTTTTGTTGTTCCAAGGTTAGAATAGAAATATTTGAGAATGCTACAGAGACTGGCACAGTAATCCTTGTAGCCAGTCATAGCAGAATGCTTGGTGAATAGTCTAGAGATAATTAGTCTAGAGATACTCCAGTTATTATACAAGATTAAGATCAGAATTGAGACTTGCAAGCATGGTGCTAAACTCTCTGTTCTCTCAGTCCCAGATGCAAACCCAAGTACAACAAGTGGGGATCGTACCGACGCAGGCAATGGCAACTGGACCAACAGCAGATCCGGAGAAGCGCAAACTGATCCAGCAGCAGTTGGTTTTGCTGCTTCACGCTCACAAATGTCAGAGGCGTGAGCAGGCGAACGGAGAGGTGCGGGCATGTGCTCTCCCGCACTGTCGAACCATGAAAAACGTCCTCAACCACATGACACACTGTCAAGCGGGGAAGGCCTGTCAAGGTGAGAGCACATTGCTGAAGCTCTTCTTGCAAATGAGCTGCGGGAGGTTTCTTGCATATTTGTCAGCAGTGTTCTGTTCACGTCAAGAATATCCCTATACCTGGCACAAGCGAGTGCCAGAACTGGTTCTTTAATTAAACAGTTGCTCCCCTTTTCATTACCTTTGCCTGGTTTCCAGTTCTGGTCTCTTTGCAGTTGTTAGTTTAGAAAACAGAAAGCAATATTTGCCCTTTTGAAGTAGAATAGTACCAACGTAGCCTTGCAAGCATGGTTTCCTCCTTTATATGCTCCTCTGCTGTATGAAGAGGGTGTAACATCCACCGTGGCTTTGTCTTAGATTTTAGTTCTAGTTTCCTTCATTTGTCATGACATTATTGGTGGGTCCCAAAAAATTCTAGTTGTATCTAGCTGTGTTTAGTTATATGTACAGTATTGCTTGTAAAGGAGAAAGAACAGAGTTGCTCTAAAAAATGAGTTAATACAAAACTAGTTAACCAAGGAGTGACCATAATTCTGTTGCTTTTCCTTGTTACAGTTGCTCATTGTGCATCTTCGAGACAAATCATCTCCCACTGGAAGAATTGTACTCGGCACGACTGTCCTGTGTGCCTTCCTTTGAAAAATGCCAGTGACAAAAGAAATCAACAACGTAAGTAGTTGTTCTACTGCTGTCGCAATGGAATGATACTGTTAAAATAAAGTTGATCAAATGTGCAGTGTAGGAATAAATTTTGACAGTGTCCCAACAAACTTAATAGCTGTTTAACAATCTTGTATAAGGATTAATAATATGCTAGTGAATTCTCCTTTCTGATCACTGAGTGCAGTTTATTACTTAAATACACAATAATTAAAAAGGGAAAGTCTTGGATCAAGTGCACATCCATTTTTAAAGGGTGTGGCAGCTTCTAACTGGTGTTTATTGTGAGGCAGGTCAATAGATTCCAGTTATAATGCAGTTTGGGATGCAGGTAGGGTTTTGGGGAAGATAAAGCTACTTCATTATTCTTGCTGCTAGAAACAGCTTAAATCAACATGCTAGAGATTAAGAATAATCAAAAACGTTTGTTAAAAAAAATAATTCTTGTGCACAAAAAGATCTGGTCTGGGTGTCTTAATGATTAAGTGTATTTAATGCTGGTATAGATGAGCTGAAGTTCTGCAAACCCTAGTGGTTTTGCCCATGCCTGTTTTTCATAAGAGCTTAGCTGTTACTGATGCTTGGGGGCAGTCAGTTTCTGGTGCATTTCTTCCCTCTTGCTCTGAAATTGAAAATACTGAACTTAGGTTGGTAGGTTTGCTTCTCATCAAATCCTTTGAAAAGATGCCAAGGTGGGACATTTTACAGCATAGATGCAGCAGTTGTGGAAGTCTGAGTAGTGTTATGCCTAAGTATATTTAAATAAGGGTTAAGAAGTGGAAAATAGCTGGAGGACTTGTGAAATTTGTACATTTGAACCGTGTTGGAAGCATTCTGCTAATTTCCATTTAGGCTGGGGCTGCAGTGAGGAACACTAATAAAGCTTGGGGGATAGAGAAGAGCTCCTAGGTTAGGTGAGATTATGGCAGAGGAGGTATTATCCACTGTCCAAATTATCCACTGAGCTCTCCATATACTTTCAGGAGGGTGTTTTTTCCCTCTAAAACTGGAAAAAAATCAATATCAGTATAGAGCTACTTGGAGGTAAGCATTTTGTTTTACCAAACTTCTCCTTGGTAAACAAGATACATCTTGTGTGTTAAAAGTAGTAATTTGTTGCAAGTGATTAGTTATGTTTGACCTTCAAAAAATGTGTTGAAAACTTTACTTTTTAATATGACATGGTCCATTTGTGCCTAACATCCTTATTACACAGTTGTTATCAAAGTGCTAACAACGTCGAGCAAACCAGAATCATTTTTTTCAATACAAGCTGCTGTAGAAAAGGAGGTAGTGCAGCATTTGTTCTTATGTCATTGATACAGCTTACCAAAAGAGAAGGCACATGAACAAAAACAGTCCTTAAAAATAATTTTGTTACAGGATCAAATAGGATGTCATTTGAATGCAACAGAATTATAATGGATAAGTGTAGATTTTGGCTCTCCTGTTGTGTGCAGAGGAGATAAATATGAAATCTCCTCCTCTATGAAATTCATCGATGGTTCAGTGGTAGTGGCCATGAAAATCTGCAGTTCGGTACGCTGAGGTGCAAGGTTCTTTGTTCTGGATTATGTCTCTGAGTCATACACCTAACACCTCGTGGTTTGTTTGAAGGTAAAAGATGAACAGTAAAAATACTTGTTTGGATGTATTATAAAGGACACCCCTTTTTAGGCATTTGTTTGTGAAATGATTTACATTAATGTGTGCATTTGAAACCCTGTGCCTGATCAGGTGAAAAGAGTAACCTAAGCTAGGTTGGTTGAAGACTTGAAGAAAATGTTGGCTCTCAGGAATAAATAATTATAGCATCTACTAAATTGGGGGGAGAAGAGGGTCTGCATATGGCAGAATATGATGAGGACATTCAGAAAGGAAAAAAGAAATGAGAAGTGTAGCGACCCTCGTTCCCTCTGTCAGGCTGTGGTCCTTACAGAATGAATGACCACGCGATGGTCATGAAAGACCCTGAGTCCCAAAATCTTCCTTTCTGTGCTCGTGCCTGTTTTACCATTGTTGTCTCAAGTCCCGTTGTATCTGTGCTGGGCTTTCCAGTGGCTCCTTCAAAGCGTGCCCGTCTTTTAGAAGGTTCTGCAGTTCAGCGCCCGTGGAACATTGCAGCGTGGTGGCTTGCTTCCACCCTTCCCACGTGCGAGGGGTCGTGTGCTCTTGGCCGCTGTCTGTTCCTGCTCCTTGGGCTATTCCCTCTGCGCGCTGCAAAAAGTCCTGGGGCTTAGGTTTTTACCATGCAGCTTTTTCCTCACAGGTATCTTACTCCGTGTTTCAGTGTTCAGATTCTTTGTAAGGAACATCTGTGCTAGGTTTCATTTGTAGAGTTTGTTTTGGTGTGTGGTTTTTTTGTTTTGGTTTTGTTTTTGTTTGTTTTTTAAGTAATCCTGAGCTGTCTTTTATTATAATTGTTAATAGTAACATGATTTGTTGATAGGACATGTTGGGACAAGTTTGAAACTTTCTCTTCCACATGGCTCTTACTGTGTATACCTCTGGGAGGATAGGGGGAAACTGCAAAAAAAAAGTTATTTTGGACACACTAAAATATTAAGCTTTTCTTTTGAATAGGACAGTGGCTCCTGCGTTTTGAACTAATGACTTAAAATCTGGTAGAAATGTTTTGGGGCTGGAGGGTTGGCTTTGTTAGGAAATACTTCTTGCTCCCTGCTGAGCCCACCACCATTTGAGTTATAAACTTGCAAAGTGCTGTTGAGATATTTCCTGGTTTTATAGCTCTGTCGTAACTGTTATTTTTCTGAAGACTCATCTTGTCATGCACATGTTTGAGCTTCTGAATTCTTCTGTTCCTGACCTGGGGAGGTGTGTGTTGTGCCACCAAACAGCTCCTGGGTGTGCTTCCCCTTGCAGCCCCACGGGTGGGGATGAGTGTGCTGCGCTCACCGTTTATTCTGGCCTGGGCTGTCCTCATGCGATGCTCGGTGTGCTTCGTTCCAGGGTCAGGGGACACTAGAAAACCTTGGGGATCCCTGTTCAGTTGAGTGAGACTGGAACGTGGAGTTGCGAGCGTGGAGCTAGCCTCCCCTTTGTCTTTCCTTGTAGGAAAATTTTATTTAAAACACAGTGAGGAAAAAGCTGGATTGAGAAAGTAAATTTGAGACAACTGATGTTCGCCTAAAATGTGAAATTCCGGAGTGTGTGGACTCGGGGATGAAGGGGAGAGTCTGATGAGGGAAGTGGAAACAGGGATGGGAGCTAGCTGGCTGGGGGAGCAGGTTATTGAGTGTGGGCAGAAAAGGAAAGAAGACCTGGATGTAGAGCATTTGGGAGCTCACCCTTTGTAGAGAAGGAAGGAGTGCATTGGCACGCAGGGAAACGTGTTCAGAAAGAGCAGGCAGCAACTTCTTCCCTGGAGTCTGTGTCTTGTGAGAGCTGGACGTGAAATCCAGTTTGCTCAAATCCTGCTGTCAGGTTACTGTCTGTAAAAACTACAAACAAAACGTGTCTCTTGTTTTTTCAAGTGGTGGAAATCATACATAATGGTGACCTGCCAGCTGTCGGTTATTCCACTGAGCCACGATAGATGGTTGGCCCAGAGATTAAGACGTTCCGTTCACTGCCTGATACGATGCTGTACTGTGGAGGCTTTTCGCTTAATGCGTAACTTAAAAATTAAAATGGCATTGGTGGAGAATTTTAATACTGACACTTCCTACCTTTAAGTTGCTCATAAATTCTTTACTTACTCCATGATTTGATCCATGATACAGCCTTTAATTAAACGATTGTGTACACTTACCATTTGTATACCTGCCTAATTCTGGGTGCAGGACAGGCTGAGGTGAGTCAAGGTTACGAGCAGAATTTTTGCTCCAGCTGCTCTGAGCTAGAATGGATGTAAGGAGCAGAGCAAGGAGCTGCAGGACAGCATCTGAACACTGCTGAGTGAGTCTCAATGCCAGAATTTGGAAGCAAAATGAAAAATTTAAATTAGACTTCTCAAAAAATGGAGTAACATGTTGTTTTTACCGGGGTGGTCAGGTTAGAGAAGTGCTTAAAATAGCATTAGGAGTCTGTGTTTAAAATAAAGTCTAATCAGCTGGGGGCAGAGGGGTACCCCCCTAGAAGACACAAATGTTGTTTCATTAAGGCAACATTATCTACTTTGCACACTGAATGGGAATCCTGTAGACGAGATGGTGTTTGATCATTCAGATTACATGCTACTGCGTGTGCCCAAGAGGCCTGATCGGGACGGTTCGGGAAGTTCTGGGGCTGCCTAACTTCTGCTTCTTTGAACTGTTGCTCTTAAGATGTATAAAGACATGTGGCTTTGTAACAGTGGGACATACCTTGTCTTTAAAGCATTTAGAACGTGAACAGCCCTGTACAGAGTTGTCTTCGTGCTTGTAGCTTCTGTCATGAGCTCATCAATGGCTAAAGCATCAGGTAATTAAAAAAAAAAAACAACTCACAGTAGGCATTGCTTCGTGTAGCAGTGGCCTGGTGCGATAACTCCTGTTGGGCTGTGTTTGTTTAAATTGACTTGATTTCCTATGGGATCTGTCACAGAAAGGACTACATTGGCGCTTGATCTGTCCAGGATGGAAGTTTAATATTCTCTTCCTCCGTCATGTTGTTTGACAGATTGTGATAATGTCATGCGTTCATGTAAAACCAATGAACAAACAGACCAGAAATTAACAGATTCCTGCTGTTGTGAGAATACTCAATACAGTATGCTGTTGAGTTAAAAAATATAGAAAAGCTGAGACCAAATAGTCAGAGCCACTCACTCCCACGTTGTGAGCGTACCACTGGCTGTAGGCGTGGAGGCTGTCCCCTAATGATAATACTTCAGTTTGAAGCGCTGAAGGAACATTTGGCTGTTAGCGGCTTTGGGGAGTTTTGCCTGCTTGAATAGGTACGTGCACACATGTGGAGCTTCTTGGAGATCATTGGTATTTTCAAACTGCAAGTCAAAATAGCGATCTTCAGACATTTTCCCCTTAGGATAACATTATAGCTTTATGGAGAAACAGTGGGGGGTTTCTGTTTAGAATAGACTTGCTCTCCATGTTGTCACTTTAAAAAAGTGACATTCAGACCGTCAACTCTGGCAAATACCCAAACCAAGTTTTTATAAGTAGTCTTTGGTCTGGGGCAGAAATAGAGCTCTGGAAATCTGATCGTGCCTAAGCAGACTTCTCTAGAATGGCCTGGGCTGTGGTTCCTACAGCTGCTCGAACACAAGGGCTGCACTCATGCTTCTGAGTAGCCGATACCACTGCCAAAGCTCGGCCCAGACTGTGGGCAAGAGGCGATGGACTTCTCCAGGCTCTGCCTTACCTTCAGTGTGAGCTTCAAACCAAGAAGATCAGTGCCAACCTTTTTCCCCAGAAGAGCAGGAGGAACGGTGAGACCCTTGGCTGTCCTCAGGGGGTGCCCAGAAGCCTTTCTCCTGTTCCCAGCCTTCAGCATCTCCTGGGGTCATTCTGCCATCGCCAGAGATGTCTCTGATTTACAGCCAGTGCTGAAAGCATGTGGGGTTTTTTTTTTTGTTGTAAGTTTTCTGGAGAAATATCATCCTCTTTTTCTAGCAAGCTGGAATTTTTATTAGCTCCTAAATCGATCCTTTGCTGTCACAACAGCCTCTGAAGCCTTTTGTATGCCAGGGTGCCCCAAGTCGTGTGCTGCTTAACCTTCTAGAGATTTCCTGTTTCTTGGCTTGCAGTAGTGTGAAGGCATCTTTCTCCTGGATTGTGTGATTCGAGTGCTGTGTGCAAGTCCAAGTTCATACAGTTGCTCTTTAATGTCTTTTTTTTTTTTTAGTGGAACTGATAGGATCTCACTCAGCTTCTGTCTTTGTTTTTACACTTGCTTGGAAATGATCAGTGAGTTCAAAAGTTCTTACGAACGTGTCCACGGAGTGTAAGCACGTGTAAGCCTCACTTCCATGGTAAACCCGGTGTTGAAAATCCTGTGGTTTGTCCTTGGGGAAGAAAAGGATGTTTTCTGTGGGGCTGCTTATTCTGGAGAGAGGGATCTCCAGCTATATTTGTGTAGTTCTTTAACAAATGAGATCAAATTGAATTTTCATCTGCAGAGGGAAAGGTCTGGACTCTGCAGTGTGTGTGTTTTCTCTGGGATGGAAGCTGAAAGCACGTGTATCTTTTTCAGTTATTATCTCAGCTTCCATAGTGGGTGAGGATTTGAGAAAGCCTAGGTAATGCTGTTAGTGTCTCAGAAGGCTTGTTTTCCTGATATTTTTTTTTTCCAGCCATGTGCCTCTCCTAATATTTCAATAAAACCACTATTGTTGCCTGTATTAAAAGCTATTGTTGCTGTGTTTAGCTCACAAATTTGTAATACACATTACATATTTAATTACTCGAGGGGGGAAAATGTGAAGTATGTGTTACTTCTACCAGAGTCTCAGTTATCAAAATGCAGTGTCTCGGTAGTGAAGGACATCCTCCATGTGTCAGTCACAATGGAACATGTTATTAGAATGGCAGCTACACTGAGGACTGGAAAGCAGATTTTTATTCACTTCTGGGTTTTGTTAAAACTACTTTTCCCTGTGTTTCCATTTCCTGCCTACAATGGAAATGACTCTTCCATACATCTGTGCGGTGGGAGAGGTTGGTTGGTTGTAGCCGTCCTGTAAATTAATGAATACCTAAATATTATTATCTAAATCGTTTACCAAAACCTGTGGCAAACTCATCCCCTTTCTGACTCTTCCAATTACTTTGGATTTTTGTCAGTACAATCCAAAACCCATCAGGGCTTTTCATATCTCTGAATAACTTGGGTTTTAGGGTAATTTGGCCTTCAGAGGATTCATCTAGTGACTGCTAGGAATGAAAATTTCTACCAACAGATCTTCAGTATTACCTTTGTGTCCAAGGACACAGTATTTCTGCTGAACTCAGGATCTCTGTTCTGGAGCCAAATATTTTGACCTAAAATGGGATTGATGGGAAAGAGGGAAGTAGAGGAATTAATTTTTTTTTAACCCCTTAGTCTATTGTCCCAAGCATGAAAATCCTATTTAGCCTTATATTGGAGCCTATACTTTATGTATATGACAGTAATTATGGGCTTATCTGCCCCAAATTTACAGCACTTCTCTTTAGACTGCATGTGTTAATTGCTAGGGTGGTTTCTGTCCTGTAGAATCAAGAGCTGAGTTTCTCTACTTGGCATCTCGGGTGTCATTCTGTCCTTTGGCAGAAAGTTCTATACTATATAACTATATGCATGTTCTGTTAATTCTTGGCATGATTTCTTTTCTTGTTTGCCCTCATTGATTTTCAATTTTCTCATTTCTTTTTTATAGCCCTTCTAGGGTCTCCAGCTGGTGGAATCCAAAATTCCATTGGTTCTGTTGGCACAGGCCAGCAGAATACTCCATCGCTAAGTAATCCTAATCCGATCGACCCCAGCTCCATGCAACGAGCCTACGCTGCTCTGGGACTGCCATATGGCAACCAGCCCCAGACACAGTTGCAGCCGCAGGTACAAGGCCAGCAGCCGTCACAGCCACAGGCTCACCAGCAAATGAGGACCATTAACGCATTGGGTAGGTGGAAAGAATACCGAGAAACAAAGGTGTTACCGTGAACCGAACTGTTGAATTTTTAGGACAAACAGTTTAGTATTTCACTTGATCAGAGTAGTGACTTTTTGTTCATGTTGATTAGTAACTTAAAATTGCACTAATTATAAGCACTGCCATTCATTTACATTTGAATATTAGAAAGCTTTGAATATATTGTTTCTGCTAAATAGCAGTAGTTTTAGTTTCTTTTAAAATATAGTCCATAGTGTATTATTGTCTGAGGTGATTAGACAGAATTGCTGATGGATTTTGGTTTAACAAGTATTTCACATGTTCTAGCAGACAGTTCTGTCTCAAATGCTAATTTATTTCTGGAACTTAATTGTTAGTATTATCTTCTTTTTAGCTTATTGAACTAATCTTAAGAGTTTATGAATTTAAAAATTTAATAGACTAGTTTTTGTAGAAGAAAAGTGTTCTATGTGATTCCATAGTAGCTGTGTATATGCACCACAGCAGGCGTTGTCAGAAAAGTACTCATGTGATACGTTTTCTTTCATTGACCGGTTGGGTCAGGAAAGTGTGGTTTTGCCGTGTTATTGTCAAAATTGTGAACTGGATACCAATGATGTTTAATTTTGTCTCAAAGGAGCCAACCAGATGAACCTTCCCGCAGGAGGAATAACAACAGACCAGCAAGCTAGTCTAATTTCTGAAACTGCTCTTCCAACATCCCTTGGGACAAATAAGTAATGCACACATTTTCATTCTTGCTCAATTAAACATTTATTTACATGCTTATGAATCTAAATAAAGAGCATGCTTTAGAAAGTAATTGTATTGGCTTGGAAATGATCAGTCATGTTCCTATTTCAATTCTATATCTAGCACTTTGTCCCCTCAGACAGCCCCAGAATATCTAGTATAGAATCGTAGAATGGTTAGGGCTGGAAAGGACCTTAGAGATCATCGAGTTCCACCCCCCCTGCCATGGGCAGGGACACCTCCCACCAGCCCAGGTTGCTCAAAGCCTCATCCAGCCTGGCCTTGAACCCCTCCAGGGATGGGGCATCCACAGCTTCTCTGGGCAACCTGGGCCAGTGTTTCACCACCCTCACATCAAATAATTTCTTTCTAACATCTACTTTAAATCTGTTCTCTTCCAGTTTAAATCCATTACCCCTCATCCTGTCACTACATGCCCTTTTAAAAAGCCCCTCCCCATCTCCTGTAGCCCCCTTCAGGTACTAGAAGGGCTGCTATGAGGTCTTGCCGGAGCCTTCTCTTCTCCAGGCTGAAAACTCTCTCAGCCTGTCCTCGTAGGGGAGGTACTCCAGCCCTCTGATCATCTTCATGGGCCTCCTCTGGACTCTCTCCAACAGGTCCA